TATTATAGCCTATTTATTATTATGAAGCTGCTTGAATTGAGTACTTCTTGTTGATAGAGGGCGCTACCGTAAATACGGTTGCTATCACGTTTTGAAAGAGTACCGTCACTTCAGGAGTCCATACCTGAATACCGAGTAATAAATTAGGAGATTTGGTTATTTTCTTTTATAATCGAGGGGTGAGCTTCACTACACTAATTATATTATGATTCGTTCATTATATTTTGGTTAATCCTGCTAACCACCAGACAAACAGACCGGCAGACAAACATGATTTCCTTGGGGGAGCTAATAATTGTACTTAACGGTTTGTTATCCTGCATTCATTCGAACATTGACACACATCCACATGGCGTTGCATCCTTACTGTAGTACTACCACGCAGTTATTTCCTTCATGTTACAACTTTAACAACACATTATCAAATATGAAACCGAACATCTTTACAACATGAACATAATCCGAATATCAAGCAAAAATTAAACCCACCAGTACCTTGGTACTCAGATGCGTATGTTGGTTTGGGACTGTGGGTGGGGGAGGGGGAGGGAGGGTGAAAAAATTGAGATATGTGGTACTAAATCTCTATTCCAATGAAAACGTAATGGTCATTTATTAGTCTCATGAGTAGTCAAGATTTTGACATTTTGCTGCCACTCCTTTATAATTCACACGAGATGTTTTTTTTTTTTTTTTTTTTTTTTTTTTTTTTTTTTTTTTTTTTATGGAGAGGGAAGTCTCTGGACAATTGTCGTGTGTACATTTTTTTTAAAATTGTTTTTAAAAAAAATTGGGAGGGTGAAAAAATTGAGATATGTGGTACTAAATCTCTATTCCAATGAAAACGTAATGGTCATTTATTAGTCTCATGAGTAGTCAAGATTTTGACATTTTGCTGCCACTCCTTTATAATTCACACGAGATGTTTTTTTTTTTTTTTTTTTTTTTTTTTTCGGCTGTGTTTTTTTTTTTTTTTTTTTTTTATGGAGAGGGAAGTCTCTGGACAATTGTCGTGTGTACATTTTTTTTTTAAATTGTTTTTTCTCTGTTATGTTTTTTATCAAGATGTTTGGTGTATCAATATATTATACACTAAATTATCATTTTTAGTATTTTAACTTTGGCCTACTCGTGGAAATAATTAGAATTTTAACCCACATAGTGGAACTACGTTTCCCTCATTGTGAGATGTGGACGCATCCCCAGTCTATACACGCCCATGGTACTTTTCTTGGAATCAAGTAAGTATTTATTCAATAAATTATTCAATGTCTAAAAATCAATAAAGTCGGTTGGGTGGTGCTCGATCTATAGGTGACTTTGCATAAGTCGATCAACTGATAAAACGTAGGCTATAATAACATGCCTATGACATGAAACAGAAACTGATAACAATCCAAAGAGCTATGGAAAAAAATGCTACATATGGATTAAAGGTGAGACACACCGAAAATAAGAAAAATAACCAGAGTTACCTTAAATAATTTATGGAGAAAAAAAAATGGAGGTGGGCAGGACACCTTTCACAAATAGAAAACACTAGATGGACTAAGAGATAACAATTTGGCAACCAAGAAAAGGGAAAAGAACGTAGAAGTGGCTGGCGCATCGGTTGTGGCTTGGACTCCCAACTTTGAGGTCGGGGGTTCGAAACTCTCGCTGTGCAAGTCGCTTGTGTCTTTGGGTAAGGCGCTTTATCTACCGTATATACCATATTCAATGCCTAACGAAAAATGCTGAAGGCGTGGAAAATAGGTGTTGGAAAAGAAATAACAAATAAATTAAGGCAACAATTCATTTTTACAATCGATTAAAAAGAAAAGACGACGAAATGGAATGAGTGATTGAACTTTTATTTTCTATTTCAAATTGATTTCATTCGCATCCTACAGCAAATAACTCGCCAATTACAGAAAGGACGATTCTTTATAAACCAAGTCTCTTTATGAGGCCTGCAATGTGGAGTTGTTTCATTTACATACTGCATAGACGGCTATGATATTAATGAATTACAGACGAAGCAATAGCAAGTAGACTTACTATCTATGAACGTAGGGCTTTTCCTCATTGCCATCATAATGAGAACTTATATTGAAATTAGAAAGTGAAAACAAAATCATATATATAACAAAATTATGAACTAAAACAAATACTAAGTTGAAACCCAGTGGCGGATCCAGGAATTTGAAATAGAGGAGGCCCAGGGAGGGACTTCGATAGACGAAGGGTCTATACCACCTCAGATCCACCGTGGTTAGGGCTGAGAGGTAAGAAAACTTACGATTATGTCACTTAGAAGGCCGGAAATGGCACTCTCAGACTTGTAATTTTCTTTTATTTCTCAGATTTTTTTTTATAATTAGAAAAATTGGGGGGGGGGGCAGGCTCCCCCTTCCCCACCCCCACCCCTTGACTCCGCCACTGGAACCAGCGCTGAAAGTTTTTTTTTGGTTAGGGTGATGTTGGATTTTAAAACATACGCCTATAGAATGCGACTCTAGAGATCTATGGCTAGCCGAGTTGTCATTTAATCGTAATTAGAGATCTTAGCTTTAAATAGGAGATCTGTACATTTTGATTTCGTCAAACTTGCGAATTTCACAGGTTGAAGGTGAAAAATGTTCATGTTGCATAGTAATTTTGCGTTTAACCTAGCTGTAGCTAGTTTAAAACGATTTAGAAAACGTAGCGTTAATATAAAAGTTACCCGTTTACGGTATCAATATTCAAAATATGTAGAATGACGTCATATTTACATCTTTGATAGGCCTTTGCTTGGACAAAGTTTGAAAAAGATCCAAGCACGGAAAGTGAACAAAGTGCGAAACAGAAAACCATGTGCAAAAAAGAGGGGAAATCGGGAGAGAAAAAAAAAGAAGAAAAAAAAAAAAAAACAAATCAGAAAAAGCCAATTATGAAGTAAACGTATTAAAACGATTTATGAGGCAATGATATTTGAATGACGTTAAAATATGTAGGCCCTTTGTAAATTACCTTGTATATTGTATGTGTGTGAATCTGCGTCTATGATGAAACTTGAAGCATAGATCCTCAAGTGATACTTTTGGTTTTTAGGTATGATAGATCAATGAATTATTTTTAAACCAATAATTTATACTTATAGCAGTACTATGCGAGGTCTTGATCTACTTGTACTGTACTTAAAAAAAATCTACATCAGGTATTAAAGCTGTTTGTGGCGTTGCTGTTTTATGTGCAGCGCCCTCTGCAAAATATTAAAGTGTAGATTCAATACCGGTATTAAAATTTGCTTGCTGAATTTTGTATAATTAAATGCTGTAAGTAATTAACTTACAATTAATAAGTAGAGAAGATGATTCCCTTACCAATTATAAACAGTTATGCAAATATAATAAAGTTGCTATGGGAAATTTAGAAATTTGATGAATAAAAGTGGGATGACCCAACAAAAGATATGAAAAAAAAAACACTTTTATTTCAATTTCTGTCTTACTATAAGTTGACAACATAATATGAATCACTCAAATGAGCATTTCTAAGTTTTATGTTTTATTTTAATTTTTAACCCTTTTCTCGATTGTTAACACCAGCAGTATATCGTTTGAATTAATTTATCTTCCATGAACTCTGGATAATAAGTAGGGATTACAAATAATAAACTATAATTAACCGGAATCAACATGTACTACGCTCAATGACATGACGCTGCATAATTTTTCACGAAGTGCATGTCTCATAATAAAAATGACACTTTAAAATAAGTTTCGTTGATGTATAACGTTTCGTATCATACTTGTGTGATCAGAGAGCTCCTATAATACACACACACACATATTCCTATACAATAATATAGGCTATAGTTGATGTTTTCCACTTGATACCGGTATGCCTCCTTGTTATTGTTGAAAATTATTTAAAATTATTACAGTAACTGTAACTCGTTATCTATTAAAAATAATAGAAAAAAACTTAGAGCCTAATAAAAACAAATGCAGACGTGCTTGTTTTATTATTTTAGTCGTGAACGTGATATAAATTTCCACACGTTGTCTATTTGTTTATGATGAGCTCAAGGTTAAATTTATCGTAGTCCTCTCCCGATTCTATTCCAGATCATTATGCCGAGACTTAGTCATTGAGGTCGAGGTATTGCATACGGTAGCTTGCCAATTGCTTGGTAAAATTACATTGTTAGGCATTCTGTGGCTGTATAGTAAGCGTAGGCCTAATATAATAATAATAATAGGCCTAATAATAATAATAATAATAATAATGATAATAATAATAATAGGCCTAATAATAATAATAATAAGCAATAATAATGATGAAAATAATAATAATAATAATAATAATAATAATAATAATAATAATAATAATAATAATAATAATTATAATTCAACCATATTTCGAAAGGGTAACCAATCCAGCGTGAGATGATTTTAAGGGCCCTCAACAATACAAACGAGTTTTATGAAAACATCAAAATGATAAAGAAAGATAAATAGTTAAGAAAAAGTATACAGTGCTGTCTCTACAATTTTTAAATTAAAAGAAAAATAAAATTCAAATATTCATCACCAACTCAATGTAAGTTTCGAATACTGTTGAATAAATAGTTGCGCTTAAAAGAATATCCCAGAGAGTAACTAATGATGTTATCATCAAAAGCCAAAACTATTATGTTTTGAAGTTTTCAGCACATCCGACGTGACATCGGAAACTTAAGACGGTAGGCATTCAGCCCTTAGGCTGTTCGATTTTAATTTATCAAGAAAAGGAGGGTTAGTTATACAAAAGGAACAATACATTAGTTACAATATCTTTACTATCCCGATGCATTGATTAATTGATTGATAATTGATAGACGTTTTGTCACCCATTACTTGACACAGAGTTTGGCCCTATAATCAAATAAGTAATATAGTTTTAGTGGCTAACTCCCCCAGTTGTAAATGGATCAATCCAGCAGTGAATACGTAAGGCAATTGACTTCTTGCCGCCACTATTCCATACTATTCCATAATGTACATTATAAGAATGGTACAATTCAATCGGTCTTCTGGCTAAATATTAGCGCTTTGTATTGTGTTATACTGGTAAATGATGCATTGATCTCGTATTATTTATTATGAACAGGATTTTCCGCCTGTTTAGTTAGTTACAGGTTACAATCATTAGCTAAAGTCAGACCGTTCGTGGACATCTTAAGAACAGACGATCTAGGATAATGCTCGGAGGAAATATAACCATGGTGTTGCGTTTTTTTTTAATCATAGCTTGGATTGTTGTGATAATTTTATGTTTTTCAATCATGGCTTGGATTGTTGTGAAGATTTCATATTTTATCAGGATCGTGATACTCGTCAACAGAATTCCAGGCCCACCTGCACTACCAATTATAGGTAATGCCCATCAATTTGAGAAGGAACCTCATGGTAAGTAGTTCAGTAGCGTGTGCCTTAGTTTCTAGTAGTGGGGAAACCAGCGTTTGAAATGGGGAGAGGGAGTGGGGGAAGGAGAAGGGGAAGGGGGAAAGTGAGGGTAGAAGATAACATTTTAGGGGAAAAATCTTGGGAAAAGTAAGGCCTACACGTTGCAATTGTCAGTTGACTGTAGCGTGTAGGCCTATGTTAAGAGCAACATTATAAAGGCTTAAGAAACAGTGCTAATAGGCCTACCTTAAAGAGATCTAATCAGGAAAAATCAACACAATGATGGTATTGGTCTGCATCGACTTTAATAAATCAATCCGTATGACGAGTGGAACTGCGGTGGGGGAACTGGGTGAAAGAAAATTATAGGGAATTTACCAGCATTGTCCCACCTCCGCCATTAGTTTATAGCCTAGAAAGTTTTAAGTGGAGGTTTATAGACTGTTGCTGAATTCAAAGTATTTTTCCTTTCCGGGTATCAATTACAGGTACAGGCCTGCATAAATAAATGCTTGCTGATGTAATACACTTTTGTTTTTATAAGAACACATTTTATAAGGACATTGAGGCTGAAATTGCTTGAAAATTAAGAACAAAATAAGAACAAATTGAGGCTGAGGTAAAATGTTATAAACCAACAAATCCTATCTGCACCTAATGTGCAGTAGGCATGTTTATAATACCCTAAAAAATGCAGTACAGCAATATACCGCTGTACATGAGTAATAATATTCTAAATTTGGGAAGTATGTAAAATAAAGAACAAAAAAAGTACATTTTGAGCCCGAAATCGGCCAAAAAATAAGAACACTGAGCCTGGGCAACATTTAACTGTGGCGGATGCAGGTAGTGTTGGGGTGGGGGGGGGGGTGTGCAGACGATGCGATCGTACCCCTTAATTTTATTAAGAATGTTGTATTGTATTGTTGAAATGAAGTACCGGTAAGATATTTAAGGTATGAGAGTGCAATGTCCGGGCACCTAGCGGTCCTTGATCTCAAAATTTTCGCACCTCACCCCAACCATGGTGGGGCTGAGGTAGTGTAGACTTTCACGCACCCCCTACCACCTAATCCTGCATCCGTCCCAGGATAAGCCAATAACAGTATTTCTCTTACGATAAACATACTCTGAACAGCTTTGTTTTGTATAAGCCTCTCTGTATATATTTTTAAATCAGCATCTCGTTTTACTACCCAGAAAAAAAAAAAAACCCCACTATTTCTGATGATTCTATATCTATGGCCTTGATTTTGTATAGGCCTTCGGGTTTCTTCATCAGCATTTCGTTTTAACACAAAGAGCCAAACCCCATAAACAATGTAGGTGATTTTAATTGCCGAGTGAATAACATGACGAGTCAATTGTGAATATAAATTATCTGATTATCATTCAGAATTATGGATCATATGCCGTCGTTATTTCTGGTAGGATAATGCCACAAGCTAGTCTTTTATGTACCAGTTATTGTTAGGGACTTCTATCTGAATGGACGATTTTACTTCCCTTCTATTTATCAAGTACAATACTATAACCAATTATTCAATTCAATTTATTCAAAGAAATGGGAGAAAAAATGAAAATGGGAAAAAAAATGGAAATGGAAATGGAGTAGTGTAACTGAAACCATGGAGCCATTTACAGTTCCATGCTAAAACATTCCTTCATAGCAGGGAATTCACTGTTCCCTGCTCATAGGTGGCCCTCAATTTCACATAACAATCATCACCCCTAGGAAATAAGAGTGTTAAAAGTATATGGGGCCGGCTACGAAAGGCAACATGCTAAATGTGTCTTTGTATGTAACTGCCAAATTCGGTGAAGGAGCACATGAAGAATAGACACAAATATATGTAGCATACCATAGGATATATTCTCACTGTAAAAACAAATTGATGACATTTTTAAAAGCTAAACGCGTTTAGGCACTGCCTAATGTGCTTAGCATCTTGACGAGTTTGGCATTGAACATAGGGACCTACATTTACAGAATGTTAAACGCGTCTAGATACTAAGCACATGACAATGCCTAAAAGCTTTAAGAGGTTAGAGACGACTGTCTTAATTGTATTTTCTTTAATCATGGACATAATTATTAATAGGTCCATGCTTTAATCTTGATATTTAATGCGCGCGTGTACGGAAATTAGTTGGAATGGCACAGCAAAGGCCATTGAACGAATATGTGATAAACGGAGGCTGCTGCCCTTTTGTCTCTGGAGTTTGTTTCTGGTCAAACATTTGTTGATATTCATACACTGTTGATAATTACCATTTTTAGACTTATTTTGTATTTTATTGACTTCACTCAAGCCATTTTTTAGGGATTTTGAGCTATGCTCAACTTAGTTGAGTAGCTGCATTTGTTATTGTCTGGCTCTAGGCTCAAACTGCCTTACCTGCCCAGGTGCAAATGTAAACAATAACTACTAGGCCTAGGCTTTGCATAACATGTTTGTTGGCATAACCATATCGTATAAAGTATTTGTAGGATAAGGTTTCATTCTGGTTTATACCTATCCCTATTAATTATTATATATCTGTACATGCAATTTTACTGGTGAATTTTGTGCAAGACTTAATGCATTCTATGAATAGGCATATATTCCATGATAGACGTTTCCTGTTAACGATCAGGAAATCAATGCCCAAACTTAATGTTTCCTCAAGTATGTGGTCTTCTCAAAGGTATTTTTCATGTTAGGATTCGGCGAGCTGGTACGCATATGCGTAAAACTAAGAATTGGTCTAATGTGGTCAATACATCGAGTACGTCTACACTTTCTAAGAGATTCATTTCATAACCACAATTAGATCACCTACGTCCTATGAAAGAAGAAGTCCTGGGATAAATGGTTCCTGTTTTTTATACCCACCATAGATAAAAATTTTGCTGGCCAAGCCCGTTTGGCACTTTGGAATTAACGTTCAATTAAGTGAACATCTTTGTATGACTTCGTCATTCAACAGAAAATTTATATCATGGCAATAACAGAAACATAGTTAACGGGGAGCGATCGTGATAATCGCTTTATTGCCGACCTGAAACAGTCCCTTCCTGATTACCATCTAATTAGCAGGGAGAGATGCAACAGAGGAGGAGGTTTAGCCCTCCTTCTCAAATCTGGTTTCATTGTTAAATCATGTGTTAATAACACTATATACCGTAGTTTTGAACACTTGGAAGCTGTTATTCAGTATAATAATATTCAGTGTACAATTGTTATTATATATCGTCCCCCACCTTCTAAAAAAAAAGAGAAAAAAACTAAACCTCTGCCATATTTTTTGTGGAATTTTTCACATTCCTTGAGTCGTTAGTAATGTCTTCATCTAAACTTATGATAATTGGTGACTGGTGGTAATTTACTGACTAATGTTGAGGCGAAACAATTCTCACAAATAACTAAATCATTTGGTTTATTCCAGCATGTCGCTGGTCCAACTCATATCAAGGGTCATATTCTTGACTTGATTCTCACTCATCTTGATGATTACATTGTGCTTAATATTTCATTGCATCACGGTGAACTTCAATGACACCGGTAGTAATTTACTATGATTATTTATTTATTTATTCAACTGAACATACACTTTTGTTTCAGTGGCACACAACATTTTGGTGCGTTCAATGAGAAAGAAAAACAACTAAACTAAAAGAAACTAAAAGTTATACAAAACAATTACACAATAACAGTATACAGTACTGCCTTGGTGTTAAAGCAAAATCCACTAAATAAAAAACAAAATTACTGTAGTAATACTATTTTTTTTAAGTTAACAAATTATTACGTTATTAAGATACAGATAAGCACATAAAAAAAAATCATTTTAAATCAAAACACATCAACACAAAAGATTACTTATGAGGTAGAGGCATGCAATAATAATGACCTTTCTTTACACAGATTTTTAGACAATGATTTGCTAAATTTATCAATTTCCACAATAATTTCCTTTTTATATAGGCCTAATTCATTTTCATTGCCAAGAATAAAACATACCTTTTCTGTAATATTTAAAGAGTTAAATTTATCCCAAACGTGGTGAAAGTTTAGTGATTGGAGATTATTTTTAAAGTGTAATATTTCCATCCTAATGTTTTCAAGAACTGGGCATACAAGCAGAAAATGATCAATGTCTTCAATGGAATTATCATTGCACACCTTACAAATTCCAGTGTCACTCTGATCATTAGACACTTTTTTTAGTTCGCTGTTGGAGAGGGAGGGTATTTGAACGGAGCTTAAATTTTATTGATGCTCCTTCAAAATCAGTACCGTCAAGAAGGTACTCCTCCATACTTCGTGACGTTTTAATTAATGAATATTTTACAATAGAAGGTTTGCTTTTAATATCATCCTTCCAGCAATTTAACGAATTTTGTTTTAGAGCATGTTTTATTTCATCCGAGGTCTCTGTAAAGGGTAGAACGGGGTGTGTTTCTTGGAGCCTTTAGAATACACCTCGCCATTTGCATTTACAGCTTTTCAATTTTTTCAAGATCACTTTTGCTTCCGTTTACCCACACCGCACTTGCGTAATTGATAGATGGAAGTGCGATCGTTCGCCACAGATGTTACATAGTATACTCTATTAAAATTATTTAGATTATTGATAATTGATTTTATATAACCGATAAGACGATTTCCTTTCTTAATTACATATTCTGCATGATTATGATCATTCATATTTCTTGAGATAAGTACACCAAGGTACTTGTATGTATCTGTTCCATTTATGCTGTAATCACCTAATTTCCAAACTTTGTTTTTATTTACACGTTTACCTATGACCATAACATTGGACTTCTCATAATTAAAATTCCATTTTCATTATTTTGTAAATTTAGTAGCAATCTCAAGCATTGTAACCAACTGGCGCTCATCTTCTGCCAGTAAGACTATCATCCGCCCAGAATAGGGCTCCATGCCAGTTGTTATTTATATGTACACCAATATCATGGGATCTAAGTAGTTTGGTAAATTCATTCATGAAAATATGGTATGGGCGACAATAGTATGGGCGACAAAACACAGCCCTGTTTAACCCCCTGGTGTATTTTAAATTCATCCGTCATAATATCCCCAAATTTTACCTTTCCTTTTACATCTTTATATAATAAATCAATTAATTTCCAGGCACGACCTCTGATGCCTATATCCCATGCTGATTTTAGAAGGCCATCCCTCCACACAGTGTCAAAAGCCTTTCTGAAGTCCAAGAAGGCTAGATGGGTTGTTTTTCACTCATTGCGTCGACAAGCAGCAATACTTTTTAAAGTAAAGATGGGTCTTCGCATCTATAGCTCTTCCTAAACCCTCCCTGGACTTCAGAAAGGATATTTCCACTTTCAAAATGGCATGAGACATTTAATACAATAATCTTCCTAAGAACTTTTAAAACACATGAAGTTAAAGATATTCCACGGTAATTATTTAGATCTTCTTTATCACCATTTAAAAAAAATGGGTACAACAATACTTAAATTCCATTCATTTGGTATTTTTTCAATTTGAATAATTTTGTTTAAAAGGCTTAATAGAACTTGATGCATTATATTACCTCCATTTTTTAAAAGTTCATTAGTAATGCCATCCTCACCTGGGGCTTTGTTATTTTTTGCAAGGCTCAGGGCTTCTTTGATAACATCAATATTTATTTATATTTATTATGTTTCTATGTTTTATGATTATGTTTCTATGTTTTATGATTATGTTTTTTATGTTTCGTGATATGGTCGCCTGACGGCATTACTGAATGACAGGATAGTGATGCTCAGAAGGGTTTATTTTTAGAAGTCTGTAAAGTAAAGCGCAAAATTATTTTGACGTGAAGATTGACTTGCTTAAATGAATCTTAACGATGACAGTTGAACTACAAATAGAGGGGTTAAAGGACAGTGTACTATTGAACGTAAAGTTAACACGGTAGCAATGCATTATGTTTTACGGGGACAAGGACATTTCCTGAATTAACTATCTTTAGCCCTCATTAAATTAATTCATATTATTATTTCTATTGATTTAAAAAAAAGGTGTCGCCATTGTTAGGTACAGGAATTACTGTACCTGTTAAACAGAGAACTTTGGTGTATGTTTCCGTTTGAATGATCCGATTGTCTGGTAAAACTTGGACCAAGACGATGTTGGTTTAACCATCGACTTCATTGTTCGTCGTTACAGGAGAAATCCAACAGTTGCATAGATCACTGATTGTGGGTCAAAATGGTCCTAAAATAAATGTATTAATCTTAAATAAAACGAATTGACTAGATTTTTAGTATATAGTGTGATGTGTGAGTGGGGACAATAAAAAGAAGGGGATGTGTAGAAACTAACGTTGTCCAGATCAATTCCGGATTTTAATTTATTGTAGGTCGGTTTTAAAAATATTAACATCCAAAGTGTGTTTCTATTAATAATTGATGGAATGTTGCACGGCCATTTACATAGCCTACAGTTACATTTAAATAGACAAATAGGCCTATAAGCATCCCACGTTAGCTCACGAGATAAATTTTAAGCTCTGATTTTCATTTCAAAATGTAGACCTATGGACAGTAAAAGTTGAGGGAGGATTTGAACTTTGTGTTACCATATGATACCATATATCCTATAGTGGCTTACAGCCTAAGCGACTATTAAAAACTAAGAGGTTTCTATCACCATAAGCATAGTTCTGAGTTTCCCGAGTGTTAAACCTTTTCATAGTCTACTAATTGTCAATTGGGATCGGTCGATTTGCCATGCCTATGATTGTGAAAGAAAATGCATATATCAAGTGACAATTTCATTATTATCATTATCATCATCATCATCATCATCATCATCATCATCATCATTATTATTATTATTATTGTTGTTATTACTATTAGGCCTATCATTATTATTATTATTATTATTATTATTATTATTATTATTATTATTATCGCTTTTATCAACATCATTATCATTATTAGCTTCCCCTCGTTCGTGAATCATACAATTAATTACATGAAATGATAAAATTACGTGTGGGTGGTTTTCCAGGTATCGTCGAATCTATGCCTCCCAGAAAATAACGGGTATTTATGCTCAGACAATGGCACTGACAAAATTGGTCTAGTGCAGTTAAAGTACTACTATATGTAAACCGTTACAAGCCGTGATTTTTAGGTGATGTACAAGTTCAAAACATTTTGCTCAAGACATCTTTTATGTATATTCCTACCCTATGAAAATAAACAGTCCATTCAAAACTTTAAGTAGGCTGTAAGGATATACCTATTTATTCCCATGACCTTTTAAAAAAAAACCTTTAAAAATGGCAAACCCAGAATAGTTAATCTTGGTTAATAATATACGCGGTAATAAGTTATAATTTATGCAAGTACAATGCATATTAAGCACAAAGGGATGACATACTGGTTTCGTGAATTGCTCTGTGAGACTGAAAGCGGCTTTTATGCTTAACCATTATTTGAATCTGAATAACCTTCATTTTACAGATTTTTATATGCGGTTTAAGAAGTACTACGAAACGTTTCCGTCAATTTACCGGTTATGGATTGGCCCCGTTCCAGCAGTCACTCTGTGCTCGCCAGAAAGTGCCGAGGTAACAAGGACACACAAGTCATGCACTTATTAGTGGAAGGGAGTAGGAATAAGCTCTAAGCAAAATAACTCAACAGTATTTTCATTCAGAAATCGAGATACAGTATTTCCTTAGACTAGGCATAGACTTAGGCAAAATCTGTTTGGTTACGAATTTGTTTCATCAGTATTCGAGAAAACACTGATATACTGTGGAAAAACATATGCCTTTTTATAGTACCGTATGGATAGTCCAGTACATGAGTTTGGCTTATAGGGCCTATTATGTAAAGTTATCAATGTGTTAAGTATAAAGTCAGACAAATCAAATGCTTGGAAATAATTGAACTCAAACCACAGGCGTCAATGGGTAAAAATACCGTACAGTAATTATTGTAAAGTTTCTGATTTATTAACTTATAAACACTCACAGTACTACACAGGACGATTCGTTATAAGTACATCCTTAACAACGCACACGTTCACATGTTCAACTAATTTGCTATAATCATTATAGACTAAAAAGTTGGTTTGTTTCCCTAGACAGGGTTTTATTTCTGGACAATAGCCATCAGGTCTATATACGTTACAGTTTGTATTAAAGCATTGTGATCCATTTGTGTTTTAAGCAATAATCTAATAATAAATATTAGACAATGTTGAAGTTTATCAACATGAGGAAAGGCTAAATGAAATTTACTATTAAAATTATTTCTGAGCTGAATAGGACTTACAAATTAAGGAAAATGAACATTTTAAGCATATTAAATTGCCTAATTTGCATAAAGGGCTGTGGAGTAGGATCTTGTTTCACCTATCCTTCTCTATTTCTAAATGTAAGACTCTTAAACAAATCTTGATAAAAATTCTATGTTTTAAGTTTTCATTTAATAGGCCTAAGTGATGAGTTTAAATACAGTCGTTGCAAATTATACTATATTATGGATATTTCCGCTAAACTTCGCTCCTTGGATATTGTTGCTATTATGTCCAACAAAACGATAGCGTAAACGTGTGTAGGTGTTTTTGAGACATGCGCGTATTTGTGGCTACTTTGATTGGTTACTGTAGCGGATAAGTTTGGTTGGCACTCCGGAAAAGTCAGTATAGTAATTATAATCTTTCTTTTTAATGTTTCCTCGTGTGCGTTGGGGGAAAAGTGGCATGTCCAGATAAGCGCGTAATACTGGCTATGTTTTGCCATCAGGTCTATATACGTTACAGTTTGTATTAAAGCATTGTGATCCATTTGTGTTTTAAGCAATAATCTAATAATAAATATTAGACAATGTTGAAGTTTATCAACATGAGGAAAAGCTAAATGAAATTTACTATTAAAATTATTTCTGAGTTAAATAGGACTTACAAATTAAGGAAAATGAACATTTTAAGCATATTAAATTGCCTAATTTGCATAAAGGGCTGTGGAGTAGGATCTTGTTTCACCTATCCTTCTCTATTTCTAAATGTAAGACTCTTAAACAAATCTTGATAAAAATTCTATGTTTTAAGTTTTCATTTAATAGGCCTAAGTGATGAGTTTAAATACAGTCGTTGCAAATTATACTATATTATGGATATTTCCGCTAAACTTCGCTCCTTGGATATTGTAAGAATATCTATTGCACACTTTACAGATAAACATGCTTTAAAAATAAGATTTGCCTCGTACTACATTGCATACAAATATCTCTCATCAAGTGGAAGAACCACTTTAGTGATCACGCAAAACGCCTACTGTACATACTCATCCCAACCGGTAGATTATTACGTCGATACCGGCGGAAAGTTGTAGCAAATGTGAAGTAAAACAGAACTGACTAAATTGGCTAGAAATTTTAGTTTGAGACCATGTGGACCCACAGAACTGCCTTTAAGAGAGAGACAGACGTATAGGTAGAGTATCTTTCCCTCATCTTTCCCAAAGACAATATCGAGAGTTTCGAACCGTAATTTAAACGAATTAAACGATTTAAAACTAATTAATTTTTAACATCTGAGTCAAAATTATGACGCTAATTTTGATGACATAGTCTGATCGTTCATCCACTTGGGTAATTCGACAGGATTCTCCCTTCCACTTGCTAATGAACGACAAAACGGAGGTCAACATGTCAGATGTACAGGCCTGCTACTTTAAAAATGACGATTAATATTTAATTCTTTAAATCATTAGTCATAATTTTGAAAAGTTCATTAATCTGTCTCCAATAAAATAATTATAAAAACGTATCTATAGGCCTATATACCGTAAAACCTCGAATTGAAGCCCAATGGGCTTAATCTCGAGATGAAGCACATCTTAAACTGAAGCCCCTCTTTAGTTTGCAAAATTATAGGCTAGATTCTTTTCAAGATATTATAGGCTTCTTTTAGAGATAGTACAGTATATACACTGTACATCAATTTAAAAAAACAAAACAAATTGAAAACAAATCTTGGTTTATACAGTACCGTAGTTTTGGTGATTGAATGCCAGTTAAATGCACTCCATGATACAGGTTGATGTTACAGTGGCCTTATTTATCGTTTCATAGTACAAATTCAAAAAAAATTACAGTATTCATTTTGAAAAGAAGCCCCCCTCTTAACTGCAAAATTAGCCTCAAAAAGATGCCCATCCAAAGTTCGCAAAAAAAAAAAAAAAATAATAATAATAATAATATGCCTAATGATAATGATACGGTACTTTGCCTAATAATACCTTCAACATCTTTTTAAAAGAAAGTGAATGGCGAACGAAAATTAAGCCTAATCTTTTATTTATTTTTCAATGAAAACTATTTATTCTAGTGTTTAACTTACATTTCCTGGCCAAATGTTTAATGCCGTACGGTACATGTTAAATCAGGAAAATGAACTACATTTTCCGCTAAAGTTGATTGTGATTTGTGTGAATAGGGTTATGGCCTACGGCATATCGTAAATAATTTCTATTAAAACAATGAGACAAATCTTTGCTAAAATCTCAAATTCACAAATCGTTACCTGCTTGGACAAACTTGAGGCTACAATAACGTTGTTCTGAAATTTAACTAACACGGAACTAGTAAGATAATCTTTATTTTTCTAAAAAGTTATTGAAGTTTGGATTAAATGACACTTGGTATATAATGGAGACCTCCTTACTTTTCAAATGTAAAGAGAACGGATTATATTTCACAACGAAACATATTGATGATGATGTTTACCGTTGACGGGTTTTAATTCTGTCTGTTGTAACGCAATACTGTCCTATTATGGAACGCCGTTTACGCAAAAATGATCGATGATCATTGTTGCAAAAACGTAATTGATTCCGGAATGTCAATAGAAATTTAACAACTGACCAATCAGAACAGGACCAGGAATACTTGCATGGTCCAAAAACACACGTGTCGTCCTGCATACGCTGTCGTTTTGTGGGACCTTATCAACGATATCCAAGGTGCGGGGCTTATCAGAAATGTCCTTAACAACGTACTGTAGTACTTGCGCGATACAATTTTATTATAGTATTGTAAAGCATGTTTTTTTTTTATTGGAGTAATTTTACTAAAATGAATATTGCTGATTTATTCAAAGGTCATCCTCAGCAGCAGGAAGAAACATATCAGCAAGGCCCATTTCTACACTTTTTTTAAAACTTGGCTAGGTGATGGATTGCTGTTAAGGTTAGTAATCTGATAGACCTAATATTTGAGTAGACTATAGGATATAATTTACATTCATAACAAAATCTGTTAAAAGGTCGAAAATTGGTTATACCAAAACCATAATATTTATAAATACAATAGTGATGATGAAAATAATGATAATAATAATAATAATAATAATAATAATAATAATAATAATAACTGTCTCTTATACACATCTAGATGTGTATAAGAGACAGAGCATATCCCTCTAAACTACGTTTACGTACAAAGGAACGTACACACCCGCAGGGTTCTGGTTTTTATTGGAGTAATTTTACTAAAATGAATATTGCTGATTTATTCAAAGGTCATCCTCAGCAGCAGGAAGAAACATATCAGCAAGGCCCATTTCTACACTTTTTTTAAAACTTGGCTAGGTGATGGATTGCTGTTAAGGTTAGTAATCTGATAGACCTAATATTTGAGTAGACTATAGGATATAATTTACATTCATAACAAAATCTGTTAAAAGGTCGAAAATTGGTTATACCAAAACCATAATATTTATAAATACAATAGTGATGATGAAAATAATGATAATAATAATAATAATAATAATAATAATAATAATAATAATAATAATGATAATAATAATAATAATAACTATAATAATTACCATTATCATTATTATGGCTATTATTACTATTATGAATATGCTTTGACATCCAAATCACAAATTACAAAAAAGTGGTATCCGTCAAAGTTATTGCCACACGCTTTTGTAAATACTTGAGATTTGCCTCCTTCAATTCTTACTATTTTAAAGGTGCAATTCTAGGAAGCATTTCTTTGTTTCCTTTGTCTTCTTGTATTTTTATACGCAATAAGTAATTCACTAGACTACATGATGATTATTATGGCTATTATTACTATTATGACTATGCTTTGACATCCAAATCACAAATTACAAAAGAGTTATACCGTCAAAGTTATTGCCACGCGCTTTTGTAAATACTTGAGATTTGCCTCCTTCAATTCTTACTATTTTAAAGGTGCAATTCTAGGAAGCATTTCTTTGTTTCCTTTGTCTTCTTGTCATAATTTTATATGCAATAAGTAATTCACTAGACTACAATGAGTCTATGTAATGATCGACTATCATGGTTGAAACCTATCGTGCATGTTCGTTAATTTTTCAGCACTGGGAAAAAATGGGAGGACAGAAGAAAACTCATAACTCCAACATTCCATTTCGAAATACTAAATGATTTTCTCTGCGTTTTCAACGAACAATCAAATATTCTCGCCGATAAGCTCGACGCGGCTACGAACCAAAAATGCATTGATATATGTCCATTGGTGTGTGGATGTGTATTGGATGCTCTTTGTGGTAAATATGACATATTCATTGTATTTAATTCGAAATTATGTATTATAAAGCCAGTATGCAATAATGTAGGCTCTGTCAATTACTGCGTTAGATTTGAGAGGCATTATACCGTTTTTAATGTGCGGAGGCATCACTGAACGCTTAAGTGTGTTGCGTCCATTGGTATTGAATGCACATGTGTTCTGCGCATTTAATTGTAAAATATGGTATTAAATAAAATAAATAAATAGAATGAATTAAAGAAATAAAGAAAAAAATATTTTATATTTGTTCTTTGTACCGTTTGATGCCATAAATTATACGACAAGAGTAAAACATGTCAATTGTTTTGATATTTTCGAGCATGGATCAGCGACTTAAATCGGTCAGCATAGGTTTGTTATGTTATATTATGTTAGTGAGCGTTTATATAGCACTTTCGGTTACGAAGTGCCATTTTATCCCTGGACACGCTTACATGTTTATATCTCTGCTTCTCGATTTTATAGCCGTCAACCCACTATATTTATAATCCTGGGTGAAAGAAAAAACAGTGCAGAAACGGGTTGGTAACCAACCCGTTGCCGCTGAGCCAAACCGATTCTATCGCACGTATTTCAACAAATTCAACAAAACCGGGTATATGAAGGAACTGATAAGGACTATAGTACTGTTCATGATGACAGTTGTTCTTATCGAATAGAAATGATGACAGTGATTTAAATTATGTTATAACCCAGACTGAGAAGAATCTATTGTGAGTGATAGTTCAATATGAGAACTATTACAGTCACCTATAATAATCAATTAATAATATTGTCTGGCCTGGTTTTTCCAAGAGTTCTGTCATCATTTTTAGAAGCTTTACTGATCTTCTATGAGTTGTTTAGTTAGTTTGAGTATAGATTTTCCTTTTGTTTTTGTTGTTAATTTTAAACGCATTGAGGTTGCTTCAACGGGAGGCACTCCATAAATCAAGAATTACTAATACTATTATTGTTATTCTTAACGTATTGGTAGCATGCTAATTACTGCATGGCGTATTTTGCTAATTATACTGCTTCCACAATACGGTTAAAAAAGGACTCAATAGTTTTAAATGGAGCGAATTCAAAGCAAGTTATTGTCATATTGACGTATGGAGCTGAAGAGACTCCTAATTAATAAATAGCTTATAGATGATATTAACAGAAGTACTGTCGCCACAGGCAAAACTTTCTAAATGGTTATGTGAAAATCATTAACAAGTAAAACATTATTTTAACCGATGGCATTATGCCAGAAGTTCAAAATATATAGGCATAAGCAAAATGTTTATAATCTTTCTGGTAACTCGCGAAATGCAATGACACTATTGATCATCACTGGTGTGTTACGTAATGTCATCTAAATTGTGACAAGGTAATGACTGAGGTAAAGTGGAAGTCTATGGTTAGGCAAAGGAAATTTGCACACTAACAATTACTGTAATGCCAAACTGACACATCCACCGTTTTTGGTTTCTAATGAACGTTTAACCAAATGGTTTGTCTCAGACACTAAAGTTCCCGATGGTGTGAAAATAGTTGAAGCATGAATATGGTATTAAATACCATTATTATAATCGCCACTTCGACATTTCTCGACAGTTGAACAATGCCATAGTGTGCTAAATCACTTCGCCCCTAAATTTTAGCACAATAAATGAGAAGTAGGTCGTTTATTTCAGCCAAGACATTTTCTAGAAAGTTCACTAAACAGTCACCAGTAGCCAAAACAACACCAAATTTCACATCATTTGAATTTAACCCTTAATAGACTGCAAATGGTTCAGAATACGGCAGCACGGATTATTACTAAGACATCGCGATATCCAGTATAGGCACGATTAAATATAAGCTGCTTGTGCACACTTTAAAAGCCTTGCAATACCAGGGACCAACTTACCTCTCCGAAAGATTAAATACCGATATGTATCAACCAAACAGACCTCTGCGATCCCATTCATATACATTAAGTGTTCCCAGAGTTAAATCTCAATCATATGGGGAAAGGGGTTGTGCAAAGGCCGCACCTACGCTCTGGAATGATTTGCCGTATTGTATCAGCTTTCCAGGGCCTCTTCATTAGACATTTTTAGAAAAGCACTGAAAACGCATTTATTCATCCTAAATTATAATCAATAACTTGTTACTGCTGCACGGTTTTAAAATTTTGTAATAAAATGTTTTAACCGGTAATTTAATTGAAGTTTGGTGGTTTTAATTATAGCTCAATTGTTATTAAAATATTTTAATTAATAATAATATATTTTAAATTGTTTTATTTCAATTTTTAATGTACCAATATATTGCTTCCGAAATATTAAATGTATGCCTCAATTTGAGATATTGTGCAAATTTTAGATTTTTATAACTGCTTTATACAATATTGTCAGTTAATTAATACTGGATCCTTTTTTCTGTATCATTTTATAATATTATTGTAATTAATGTATGAATTTTTATACTCTCAATTGTTTATTTTTTTATTGTTAATTTATTGTATTCTGAATGTTAAGCGCCTTTTTGAACATGATTTTTCATGAAAAGGCGCTATAGAAATTTGGTAAATAAATAAATAAATCATTTCATGATGACCGAATCCCTATGTGGATACTTTAAAACATAATACCTGTACATAAGGCAGTATAGGGCATATAGACATACGCTCCACTAGAAGCCTTTTTTATGTGACCTCGCATATAAACAATATAGAGTTTCATTGAAAGAGAGTGGAAAACTAAATTGTTTTTATCGTTTTTATTGAAATAACAATGTTCATTGGTTTTTAGCATGTAACAGTAGATTTGAGGTATTTGGGTCATGTCATAAAAATAAGATTTAAAGCAATTTAAAGTCATTTTATGAAGACCAAGTTGTAATTAGTGAGTGATTCACCGTGTCAAATTATTTTTTAGGTCAGCAAATAGTAGCAGCAGTCACTCTGCTTTGCTTAAAATTACTCATGCCAGACACACAATGACATTTATGGGCAAAGTTAATATTCGTAAGGTAAACAAACAAGGGTCCATAACATACCTGTCAACCTTGAGAAATTTCAAAGAGTAAGATCGGGTGAACAGTGGCTGGGGGGGGGGGCAGAGGGCCGCCTTCGGCCCCTGGACGCTTTGGCTTAAATGGCATATATAATCGATATTAGTGAGTTTATAATGATCTCAGATACAGCAGTTTGAAACATGGAGGTAGAATGTTATGATGATGTATTTAGTTATAGTAAAATTCATTACAAATTGAAAAAGAAACAAAATTTACTAAAATTTTAGGATAAGCGCAAGTTTTGCCGGTGTCTTTCGTAAGATTGTAATATTTGATTGGAATGCGTAAGGCTTATGGCGAATGCGTACGGGTTGACAGGTCAGCCATAATAAACGAAAGTTGGACACTACTGCAATTATTTCTCAGCCCGAACCCCTTCTTTGAAAATAGGCGTGGTCCTTGTCTGTTTCTATTCCAATGAGAAATTTAAACTAGCAAGAGATAAAGTTAAGTATGAAAGTTGCATATTACTGGTAAAAATTAGCAAAAAATGTATTTCATTAAAACAGCGCATAAAATTTAAGATTTTTTTTTACTTTTTACAAATTTGTCTATCACACATCATTAAAATAATATAATATATCGTGACTCCCACCTGTTTTGTTGTATCTTTTTCATTTCAAGTTCCAGCAAGCTTTAAAGGGCCGGAACATTCTGTATAACAGAGAAATGACATGGTTACTTTGGCTGTTTTCTCTCTGTCTATTCGGTTGTTTCTCCTTGTTAGTTTTATAATATTTCTTGGTTTCTTTCAGGATTAATGAAAGACCACTACAAAAGAAATATCTGATGCGACAGCCGAAGTATTGTAATAATTGATAATAATTGATCTTCTTCTTCTTAACGTGCTCCATCTTGCGACATTACACTTTCCACAATTGTTTCCATTTGTTTCTGTGCAAGGCAGGATGATTTGTTGTAATGTTTGTGTTAACATGTCCTTCCATGTCTTTTTAATTTGGCTCATCCAGTTATTTTTGGGTCTTCCTACTGGTCGTTTTAATTTCCGTTTTAGCTCTTGCATTGTAATAATTAAAATGATCACTTAATTCATAATTACCAAAATGGCGTCAATAATCATTCCTATGAATTGTATGTATGTTTTCAAGTTTAACCCCGAAACCTTTGAAATACCGGGATGGTGTACGGGGGTTGGGTGGGGGTAGTTTTGCTCTAGTTTAAGCTATATTTAGGTAGTTGCGATTAGTTTTAGTTGTAGTGAAGATGTCCTGGGTATGACGTGAAAAAATGCATCAACTCGAGCCTCCTAGACTTAGTATATCTGTTTGTACAACAGAACACTGGGCTCTTCCTCATTGCCATAATGAGAAGCGATTTTGAAATTGCAGCAAAACAAAAGACATTAAAAAGTATAAAGTTAAAATCACAAGAAATACAAAATACTACTAAAGAAAAGTATGAAGCAAAAAAAAAAACAAAAAAAAAAAAAAAAAAAAAAAATAAAAAAAAAAAAACAAAACAAAACAAAACAATGAAAACCAACTTCACGGCAAACGCGATGTTAGTGAGACTCGAGAACTAAAAACTGCGATGGTAATAGGGAGGTACATGAAGAATCAAAACCATTGCGCTCTATACCGTATGAGCCGACACTGCGCAGGTCAGTGATTTTTTAGTTTAGGCCTATGGTAATTCAGTAATTGAAATCGAAAATTGTTCATTGTGCGTTTAACCTAGCTGCAGAAAACGCTTTAGAAAACGCATATAGTTTAATCACCCGTCCATTAAAATTCTTGGTCCTCATATCAACACCCTACTCCGGATCGTCACCAAAATGTAGCCATTTCTTCATTGGACCATGACAAACTATTATGGAAAGTTTCATTTAGATCCATTGATAACTTTTTTACAGATATTTAGGTCTAGGAACTTAGCAATTTAAATGACCCTGAAATTCACACCCGAATCGGGATCGTCACTAAGATTTAATAGTTCCTTCCTTGTAACATGGTTTACGTTTCCAGAAAGTTTCATTCAGATCAGTTGATCAGTTTTTGGGATATCTGGTTTAGGACGTCTATAGTTAAATGGCCCTCATGTCCACACCCTACACCAGATTTTCATCAAAATGTAATCGTGTCTTTATTGGACCATAACAAACCATTCTGTAAAGTTTTATTTCGATTTATTGGTTTTGGAGATATTTAGGTCCGGCCGTTATCACTTTAAATGACCATTACATCCACCCGAATCAAGTTCGTCACCAAAATGTCATAATTCCTTCCTTGTAACTTAAATAAACTTTTTTAAAAAAATGTCATTCTAAGCAGTTGATAAATTTGTGAAATATCTGGTATGGGACGATTTCCTTTGAATGGTCCTCATATTCACACCCTATACCGAATCGTCCCCAAAATTTAAACATTTTTTTTATTGGACAATGACACTATGTTATAGAAAGTTTTATTTAGACCAACTGATAATTTTTTGGAGATATTTAGGTATGAGACGTTGGAAATTTAAATTGCCCTCAACTTGACACCGAATCGTCACCAAAATTTAAACATTTTTTTTTTATTGGACCATGACACTATATTATAGAAAGTATTATTTAGATCAATTGATAATTTTTTGGAGATACCCTATTTAGGTATGCGAAGTTGGAAATTTAAATTGCCGTCAACTTGACACCCAATGCTTTGAAATATCTGGTGTTAGATATTTTCCCTTAAATCCCATTAATTGGTCCTCATAACCACACCCCACTCCACTCTGAATTGTCACTAAATATTAGGAGGCACATCCTTGATATATGGTCTATGCTTGGACAAAATTTGGAAAAGATCCAATTCTGCAAAGTGACCAAATTGTCAGACGGAATAAACAAGTGCAATAAGATAGAAAAAAAAAGTATGTAAGAAAAAAAAAACCAGAACATAAAACAATGGCTTTTCCAGCTACTGCTGGGAAACGCCAAATGGCTAAAGAAAGGGCGGAAGAAAGGACGGATGAGCTCCTCAGAGTCAACGGCCAAACATGCTTAGGGTTAGATTAAGTATTAATTGTCCGTTTATTCATGTTCGTGTTAAGCGCATAGGTTTCCATAATATGTGCTCTATAAGTCGACAGTTATTATTATTATTATTATTATTATTATTATTATTATTATTATTATTATTATTATTATTATTATTATTATTATTATTATTATTATTATTATTATTATTATTTAAAAAAAACCATTAGCATTCATGTACATATTATTATTATTATTATTATTATTAAAAAGCCATTAGCATTCATGTACATATTGTTATTATCATTATTATTATTATTATTATTATTATTAGGCCTATTATTAGGCCTTTATTATTATTATTTACATGAATGCTAATTGTTTTTACTATTTATTTAAATATCTATAGAAACGGCAATGGGTCATTGCCTCGGCTCTCAAAATAATGCCGAAAACGACTACGCAAAAGCTGTAAAAAGGTAGGTGAATATATTACCATTTCTTTTTAATATGCTTACGCCATAATAATTTTGTTCTTGCATTCACCGACTATGAATGTTGAATGAATTGGATGAACATTTTAAAATCCCCATCCTTTTGCGACAACGCTTACCGACGTAGAATGATTAGACTACCACTGGCATCCCGGGCCTTTCTACTTAAGAAGTCTATACCTTAACCATGGAGGAATAAGTTTAAACTG